ACATACATACATACATATGAAGAAAAATATAGAAAAACAAAAATCTGAATATGCAAGTATGCTGTTTTAATGTTGTTACAATGTTGATGTCAGACGTTTCGGTTTAGTAGACCTTCTTCAGGACGTAGTTATTAAAACATAATTAAAATTAGACGATATTCAAGTCAACATGAAAAGACCATAGACATAAGACTAATCAAAAGAGAATAACTGAAATTTTTAAGATCAGCGTTCCGTTTCGCAATCCGATCACATCGGCGTCACGTGGGTGATGTTGTAAAAACGCATTCCTAAAATAGTGTATATTTTAAATGAAAAAGAATTTTATTTTAATCTAAAATTTATAAGTACGTTTGTCGAGCATTAACCTTGCCAGAAAAGGGGAAATATTAAAGAAGCCGGGTCTAGTATTCACCGTACGTGAGATAGATATTATGCCTGCCTCATAAATCCATCTAAGATTTTTATTATGAATATATTTTTTTTATATATTTATGGTTGGTTGGTCATAAAGATAAGACTGTGTGTGAAAAAAAACAAATTACTGGACAAATATTTTAGAACTAGTCATTGTGCTCCTAGCTCATTTCCAGTATTAAATTTCAGATTTTAAAATGGCTAAGGGTAAAATTTTAACAAAGTTTGAACAGGACAGGATTGTTGAACTTCAAAGACATGGTCTTTCGCAATGAGCCATTGCAAATGAAATTGTCCATAGCAGAACTGTCATTGCTAACTTCATTTAAAATCCGGATGTGTATGCTTCTAAAAAATTAAGCGGTCGCCCCAATAAAATCTCACCATCTCTAGACAGATACATTAGTTGAGAAGTTAAGAGAGATTCAAGCCTAACATCAAATCAAAGTGAATACAGATGATGAATGCAGCTCTCGAACAATTCAATGTCATTTAAAGAAAAAAGTGTTTAAGAACTTGAAACGGCTGCAGAGGCTTTGCCGCCTTCTTCACCATAAAACCTCCCGTTTACAATTTGCTTCCAATTATCAAACTTCGGATGTGGATAAATGGAAGAAAGTGTTGTTTTCAGATGAGAAAAAATTCAACCTTGATGGCCCGGATGGCTTACAGCGTTACTGGCATGCAAAAGATGTCCCAAAAGAAATTTTCTCCACATGACACAGTGGAGGTGGATCAATTATGGTCTGGAGTTCATTTTCTTACAACAGAATATTGAGTTACAGGAGGTAAAAGGCCAACAAACAGCAGCTAGTTACATTGACATGTTAAGAAAGGCATCGCTAATTACTGAAGGCCCTCATCTATGTGGAGAAAACTGGCTTTTCCAGCAGGACAATGCAGCAATCCACAATGCTCTCTAGATCGGAACCTAATCAATTATGTTTGGGGATGGATGGCAAAGGATGTTTATGAACATGGATCACAATTTGAAACTGTGGATGCTCTTTATGCTGCAGTTTATGCATCCTGGGCAAGCATCCCAAGAACCTCATGGTGAAGTTAATAATGAGTATGCCAAAGCAAATTTTCAAAGTAATTCACAGAAATGGAGGATGTACTGAGAATTAAATTGTCATTGTGACTTATTTGTTCTGTATTTGCTATTTTTATTTACATGGTTTTATCTTTATGACCAACCAAAAAAATCCTTTTTTCACTGTTTGTTTAAATTAACCAATTAAAAACTTCAAAATGTTCACTTGTTTGTTGATAGACTACATTTTCAAATTAAATGTAAATGTTTCACAAATATATTTTGATTAAAGTAACAGTATTTTATATTCTTTTTTTAACCCTTTTGTATCTGGTCTTAGATTTTGACCAGGGGTGTATATACAAACACACACAAAGTGCTGAAAAGTTTTAGGTCTAACTAAAAAAACTCTATCTGGCAAAAGTTAATATTTATTAAATTGGTCTTATTTTGAAAAGTGATTTGGGCTGTATATATATGATTGTGTGTGCATGTATGTGAAGGTAGTGATGGGTAAATTGTCATTTTATATTTTTAATTTTTTGCATATGCATTGTTTGTTTTTAATTTTGCCAACTGCACAGTATAGTAGGATCAGTTGGGCACCATCTGTGAGAAAAAGAGCACCATGACACAACTCCACCAGAAATTTGGATATGGCATGCTGTACTGCTGTATCTGAAGCTCCAGTATGAACATTTCAGAGTGTTTGTGTGTCAATCTGAGGACAATGCAAAGGATTTGGAAAGAGTTGGAGAAGTCTAATGTTGATTACAAAGGTGTTTGGAGTGAACACTAGTGATGGTAACGTTATGACTCAATTCATTGTCACATAGACTCAACACTGAGGCCTACATCAAATACCTTAAGGATGTAGTGCTGTCCTGAGTCAAGAGGGGCTGCTGGAAGATCCTATGTCTGGCAACAGGATTCTTTTTTTTTTTTTATTGTATTGTGTCTATACCAACTCAACCATGTAGACATTTTCCAATCAAACAAGACTGAATAGTGACTTTAAGTGAAATCCCTCTTTTCATAGACTCTTGAAATTTCATATCTGCTTAGTTCCAAAAGTAAACAAAGCAATTTTTAAAGATGTAATGAAGTTTTTATTTATTAATCCGACAGATTTAATCACTTTAAAAGTTATTTTAGTGGATATTCATATTCAAGTAGATGCTCCATTTATTTATTAAACGGTGTATTTATTTATTTTTATTTCCAAGTCTGAGTGTTGGAGATGTCTATACTGCAGATTATCTGATTGAAACTAAAATGGCAGCATCCATGTAAAATCCCAATCAACATCTTTATAGTCATTTATTTCCAATAAATGGCAATTTCCCATTTTTCCAAAAAAAGATAATACTATAACAATGCAGTAGTGAGGGTGTTAATATAATGTCTGTTAAGATAGCTCTAAGTTTTAGAATTCAAATTAAAGAAGAAACATTTTTTAATTTTTTTTTTTTTTTTAATTTCACCCTAAGCCAGGCAGATATGCCACTAGTATGCAGTAGGTTACAGAGAGTGAAATTGAGAAAAAAGCTTACAAAACACTTCATTACAGCCAATACCCAAAACAACCTTGATCACTATATACTACTAATTTTGAGAATACCATGGATGGAGCCTGTAAGCAATGATGAAGTTTTAAGGAAAATGGGAACAAAACAGACTTTTTTAATTTTATCATTTCACTCTAAGCAAGGTGGTAATGACACTAGTACACAGTGTCAGGAAGTGAAAGTGGGAAAAAAGACTGAGTACAGGGAGGATTGAAGAAAGGAAATAAGATGAAGAGGATTCAAGAAGATAGAAGATGGTGATTGATGTTGTATTTAAATTTTTGAAGATTGTAATTATCAGGGAAGCAAGTAGACAGAATGGAGTTCTATAGGAAAGAAATGCAAGAAAAGAAACTACTGGAGTAGAAGTGTTAATTGCATTTAGCTATTTCAACAGTAAATAGGTGGGAACAAGATGCCAATCTAGTAACATGCTTAAATTCATGTAGTTGCGACACCAGAGAAAAAAAGCTTGTCAGAGCAGTTGCCATGAAAATATTGGTAGAAAAGACAGAAGGAAGCCACGTTATTGCAAGGGTTCAAATTGATGACCTTTTCTTCCAGATACTGCTGATAATGCAAATCATTGGAATTATATATATCATGAATCATTTTGTTTGGTATTTGTGCATTCTCTTTTAATGGCTGATTTTATTTTGTTGATTGTTGCCAATTTTGCATGATGAACTTTATCACTAAATTGTTTGTCTGGTAGCATCTAGTGAACATGATAAGTATTCAGCAGATTTTCATCAAGATAGGTTTTCGAACATGATGGTCAGGATCATCTTCATTTAGGGTGTTGAATGATGTTTGAATAAAACACTTTTAATGAGTGCACTTCAAAATGCAATAGGCATTTCAAAATCAAGCGTCTATCTCACAAGTCACTTGCCCAACAGATTTTCTTTAGTTATTGTTGCCAAGTTTTCCAAATAATTAAATTGGCTATCACATTGGGATGGCCAAGAACATTCTCTTTGAGGGTATGGATCAAAGTTGGAATAAAACTTTTCCAATTGGTTTGCTTCAAAATGTCATATAGAATTTCAAAATGCTTATCTCACAAGCCATTTGCCAAGCATATTTGCTTGGGGATTGATGGTAAGTTTCCAACAATCTTTCTTATTTTGTGGGATCTATGAATGTCTTCTGGATTGTGTATGTCTATGTCTAGAACAGTCCTTCCTGATTCAATCTTACCTTTAATGATATAAGTAGTGAGTCATATAGGTGGAGCTGTTTGAAACTTCCTTCTAAACTTGCACATCAGCTAAGTTCTCACACATACAATAACATTTTAGTATGAATTGCCTAGGAAATAAGTTATGGTCTGTAAAATTGTGTATATACTTTGATATGGACAACCAGTAAAAACTGTAATAGATAGGCAGACTGTCCATTTGATTTTGCAGGACAAAATCTCTTTTCCTGACCATTTTTTATATCTTTATACTTTTTATTACTTTAAATGTTTTTTTTTTAGTTGATACCCATATTTGAGGAGATGATCTGTTTATATATTTCATCTATGGCCTTGATCATTAGAGAAATCTTATTAAAAGAAAATGTGCCCTCCAGCAGAATTTGAAGCTATGTTCCTTTTTGTAGAAGAAACTATCATTAGATCTAACAATGGTTTCTCCTGCAAAAGAGAATGCAGGTTTGAATCCTACCACAGGGCGCATTTTCTTTAATAAGTTTTCTTGAATGTTCAAATTGATTGATTGATTTTTTTATGGCTTATAAACACTTTACAGGTTATTTAAAGCCAGAAAATATTTTTAGATAGAACTTTTTTGGAGGTAATAACAATTTAGCAATACAAGTCTTACTAATTAACCCATAGTTGGGGAGAAGAGGGGGGATTCATATCTTTCCCAAGGATATTTGCATGTAAGTGAAGACAACAAACTCAACTGAAATTGGAACTCTCCAATTAACAATTCCTAGCCATTACACCACCCACATATCTAATCTTACAGCCCCTGCTATTCCCAAGTGATCCCCTATTTAGTTACTAATCAGGTGTGACATTGCTTAACTTCAATGATCATATGGGAACCAGTGTATAAGTGTAATGTGGCCGTAAGCTTATAGGTGAAATGTAATACTCTTTAAAGTAAATAATACGTCTACTCAAATAAGGTATCCATTAAAAAATAACATTTTAAGTAATAAAAATATTTTTTTCTTTAGTAACTCAACTCTCCAAGTTCTTGTTCTCCTCTGCTGTGGCCAGGTATTGAACTCACAGCTCTTTGGGTCAAGTCACTTGATTATTTCAACCAACACTTTTATCCACTGGGCCATGTGTAATAACTAAAGGTGAGATATCCAGAAAAGGCATGACACATAGAACTAGAACAATCTAGCCTAGTAGACAAAATGAAGGGTTCAGTTCAAAATTCCAACATTTATCACCTGAAGAAGGCTAAAGTTTACTACAGCCAAAATGTGAATATGACAGTAAAAATAAGAATAATAGTCTGAACAATGTAAATAGTGTAGATACCTTTATTTGTTGATTTTTGTGTTAGTAGGAAAATATTCATAATTATAGCTGTGCAGCTTCTCATTCATTCACATGGGTGTGCTTATGGGTGTATATTAGATAGTAAAAGCGAGAGAAAAATATATTCAACCATTTAAAAATGTATATATGTTATATAAATATTCTTTTTAAATATATACCAACATAAATGTATGTATGTGTGTGGGTATTAATTGGTATTCTGCCTGACCAACTTAGCTACTCTATTCACCCAGACAGTTTCATTTTCTATACCTTTTCACCCACTCTAATTCTTCCTGTTCAAAGTCCCTTCTACTCTTCTACTTCTCACCTAATCTCCCTCCTTTATTTTATGTTGATGATGATGATATTAATACCTGCTCTCTTAAGTTGTACACTTGAGAACAGTGCTCATTGCCACCATAGAGTTTAGATACACTGCTCATCTGTAAGAATATCTTCACTTTAAAACTTGGCAACAAGATTAAAATTGAATCCACCAGCAACATCATGTTAGTTTGGCTGGCTGCTTAAAGATATTAAACCAAACTGTTTCAGTCTGTTAGTATCACCACTAATCTAAACTACTGGAAAATTTACAAATATTTTATGTTACATGATTAACACATGATATGTTGTAAATCATTTCTTAAACTAACGTTACTGTTTCAAAAACAAGATCATATAAGTTTTTACACATTGACTATAAAGTTATTGGAATATCTTTAACAGATATTTCAGTTAATGTTATCAACTTTAATAGGATTTTATGCACATTGTAGTGAATCACCCTCACTCTCTTCTTATTCAATTAATTAGATGTAAGTTCCACTCAAGCAGATTCTTCCTACGAACTGCTGCTTTGTGGAACTGACTCCCAAGAGGATGCTTCCTTGATCACTACAATCTTAACCTGTTCAAGTCTAGGGTTAACTGTTATCTTCCCCACATATCCTTATAAACTGTCTCTTATTCTGTAACCATCAAGTGGCTCTCAGATCTTGTACAGGGTGAACATCATTTTTTAAAAAAAAAAAGAAAGTTAAGTGATATTATATTTCTGGTTTTAATTTGAGAATAAAGTTGTTACATTCTTAACTAACCTTGTCAAATCAAGACTTTTATATGTATCTCATGAATAGTGCCAAACCTGTTCAGAAATATGTAAACTATCTAAAAAAGGCTTTGAGTGAATGAAGCCTTTGGTCTTAGCAAAAACCTTTCCTCTTTGAACCTAGTGGGTTGGTACTACAGAATTACAAAGTACTTTACCAATAATAGACAGACACTATATCACTTGAGAAATTTAAACAATAGCTGAAATAGATAGCACATGTAACTCAGAGAAAAATAACATTCAACACTATTTCAAACAAAAGGTTTCCAAAGAAGATCTCATCAACAATGGAGCTCATGAGCTTAAGAAACCTATTTTCCTGAAAAAACATTTTAAGAGAAAGATTTTATAAATTTTAGCTGACAGTTGCACTAGCTGTTCAGTTGCATTTAACTCTGTTCGTGGTTTCTGTTATCATCTCTAAACTGAATCCCTGCAAAGCACATTGACTTGATGGTATTTCTGCAAGAGTTCTTAATAAATGTGCTCCTAAATTGGCTCCTATTCTCTCTTAACTTTACAATAATTGCCTTACTGCTTTTTGCTTTCTTGCTTCTTTCAAATCCTTTTCTGTAGTTCCAGTTTTTAAGAACTCAAGTAAATGTTCATATCCTTCTATTAGCCTTCTACTTCATTTTGGCAAAGTTAGAGGCTCTAATCAACTCTGAATTGGTTAAAGATCTTAAGTCAGAGGATCTTCCTTCAGATAAACAGTATGGCTTTCACTTCACTAGGTCAACTACTGATGTATTAATGGTTATTACTGAGAGTCTATCAAGCTTTACATAAGAATGGTGAAGTTTAGGCTGTTTGAATATCTCAAAGACATTTGATAGGGTCTTGCATACTGGTTGTCCTCACAAGTTGAAAGGTTATGATATTTCTGGACAGATTTTTTTAACTGATTCAGTCTTTCTTATCAAATCACAAAATGAAAGTTGTCTTGAATAGCCCCATTTCTTGATCTTACTGCATTATTGAAGATGTGCCCAGGCCTCTATACTTGGACCTATGTTGTTCCTAAGTTTTATCAACAGCCTTCCTGATGTCATCAGTTCTCAACTTGGTATTTATGCTGATAAAACAACTATTTACTCCTGTCTTAATGGTAAGTCTGATCAGTCCAATAAGGTCAAACTAGCAGCTGATCTAAAAAATGGCCTACATTCTGTTGTTAACTGGGACTGATGCTAACCTTAAGGAGGGTGACTCCATGTGTCTTCTTAGGTTAGCATTTTCTGTTGACATGAAGTGAAAAGATTGTATTGAATCAGTTGCTAGGTCTACTGCTAGGAAAGTTGGTTCACTATATCGTGCTAGACGATTTTTCTCACCAGAATCTATCTTACACAGTTTTAAGTATACCATTGATCCAGGCATTGAATATTGCTTCCATATCTGGTCTGGTGCTTCTGCTATCTATTTAGAGATTCTTGATAAAATTCCAAAGAAGATGTTATTGGTCCTGACCTGGTATTTTAGCTTCTCTGTCCTTTTCTATAAATATTTTCATGATAATTATTCTGATGAGGTTTCCTTTTTGGTACCTAGACTTCATGAATACAAGCACAGTACTAAATTGGTGGCATGTATCATTATTTAAAGTTTAAATGGCTAGATGTAACTAAGTTCTATGCTAACAGTTTCTTTTCTTGCTTATGGAACTCTCTTCCAGCTTCTTGCTTTCCATTTAAATGCAATGTCAATTATTACCTTCTGTCTTAATTCCTGTTCTTTTATTGTTCTTGCTCCTTAACAGTGTTTTATTTTTCTCATATTCTGTCACACATAATAATCTCTTACATCTTGGCTTTATTGCCTTGTTTGGGGTGAAATGATTAAAAAAATTTTATAAGGCTGATATTAGAATAACCGTTATTTGTTTTTGCATTTCCTTTTTCTTTTTCACAGTAGTTACTAAAAACAGTGGGGTAAATTTATCAAATAGTTCTATGATTCATTTTTATCTCTAAAATATCAAAGACGATCATCAACAAAAATCCCTTTTTTTTTTTTTAATAAAGTTCAGAATTAATTTTATATAAAACAAAAATATGGCAGGGCAGTTAAGCACACTAATTACAAAATATTTTATACAAGACTACATACAAATACACATTAAGAAATACTAATCAATTTGATATAACTATGACTATTTCCAAAGTGAAAGCTTCATGATGATTACTCACTCAAAAATCATCCTGCAAGAAATTTTTCTCTATTCCTACTTTCAGGATAAAAGCACAGTGAGCTGGGGGAGGGGTATAGTATATCAGCAGTGGCAACAGTATAGGGCATATGTGAGACAAACCATAAGGAGTGGGAGCCTGCACAGCTGTCAAATCTGCAAAATACACAAAATGAAGAACCTCAAAAATATATAGCTAATGGTTGAGACTGTTTGGAAAAATAGTGTTTTGCAGCTGAAATTTTCCTTTACGCCAAGATGTTATTGTTCTTGTATATGTTGGAGATTTTGTGAAAATAAGCAGGAGATTTTACTTTCACAGCATTCATATATGTCCTGCACATATGTATATACATATTTATAATCAAGTACTTTAAGTATATATAATTTTTTAACAATGTGTAGAAATCTGAAGGCACATTGGGGTAGCAAAAGATGTCTTCCAAATGCTAAGCAATGTATTCAAAAACAGGAAAATTTCATTAGAAACAAAGGAAACAGTGATGAACTCTTAAGTAATATCAGTCCTCTTATATATTTAAATTTAAAAATTTTCTATTAGCTTGAAATAAAACTAAAATAAAAGCCTCAAAGATTTTTAATTTTTAACAATTTTTTTTTTTACCTTAAGTATTGCATTTTCTTTGGAGATACCTAGCTTAAAATAAAAAGAAAGTATAGATCTATAAAATAAATACAATACTTCTATATAAAGTGTGACTATGTATGTAGATATATTTTATGTGAAAATATGACGTTGAAATGATTTGGATAAGATTGTGGGAAGTAAAATGTTTAAATAACATCAAAATAATTTGATGCACTTTTTCATTCTGATTATAACAATTAAGACTATGTACCAAATCTAAGAGTGACATATTTTAAAAGTAAAACATTGCAGTGAATGTTGGACAATCTCTTCACAGATAAAGAAGAGACTTTAGGCAACAGAAATGTGGTTCTACAGAAGGATACTGAGGATACTATGGACTGAACATGTGAGTAACAAGTAAAGTTTTAAGAAAAGTGAAAAGAGGCAAGTAGAATTTCTTCGACACATAATGAGGAATGAGTGCTTGGAGAATTTGACACTCACAGGATGTACTAAAGGCAATAGAAACAGAGGAAAGAAACTAGTAGCCTACCAAATGAGCTTGTGTAAATGGATAGTAGAACAGAAACTGGGATGGATGTTGAAAAGACAAACCTTACTAAGATTTACTAAGGATGTGAAGTTGTGCAAGGCCATGATCGTCCATATTCTGAAGAGAC